TTGACAAGTAAAGACTTTTACCAGGTTTCTCTCTCTGACGCATACTCCTTATCTTATCAGAGCCCAACAGTTTTCTGACTACTACTACATTAAAGCCAACTTTATTAGTTTAATTGAAACTGATGCAAAATTTTTCAGGTCAGACCTGAAGGAAGGCTGCTTTGCAATTTTCACTGTCTTCTGGTTCAAAATTTGTAGTTTAAAAACACCCTTACATCTGCAATTATAAATCAGGTCCACTCCTCCATTTTCTGTTGACTTCAAGTCTTTACCCCTCCCTTTCTGAGCAGAGCACAGAGGAGGACAAGCCCTATCACTATTTTTATGAAGTAGAATGACTTGTTGAAGGCTAACATGGAAATAGTACTGTCCTACAGCTTCCTTGGTTTTCTCTCTCATGCACTTCACTTTGCCAGGCATTTTCAAGTCTGCCATGTAGATAGCTCTTCCCACCACAAAAGCAACTGCAATAACAATCTCAACTACTTCATTATTTTTGAGTTAGTAATTGGCAAAACACTTTAATCCATCCATTTTAATATCTTGAATTGCTTGATTAGTATCCTGCCTAAGGATTTAATGAAAAACTGCCACTGTATACTTAATTATTCACTTAATATCCGCTCAGTTGTTCTTTCCTTTCTGCATTATATTATTTCTTACATGAATCTTTATACTTCCCTATTTGGTTCTCCTTGGTATTATTTTAGTTCGTGATCAGCAGAAATAATTCTCAAGAAACCAAAATTGTCTGAATCTACATTAGCAGGCTTCCAGAATTTGCTGTTCTCTAAGATTTATAAACCATTACAACATATTTGCATTTCACTAAATCTGTCTTGTAAGATGTGTATTTCATTATGGTCTTTTAAGATTTGGACTTCAAAGATTCTGACTATTAGGTGCTATTCCAGAAGGTCATTTGGATATCTTGTGGATGTCAGTCAAGAGTTTATTGATTTCCTAATTATTCTGTTTTTCTGTTACCTCTGATGCTTTATGCTTCTTTGTTATTTTACAATTTCATCCATATGGTTAAAAAGTAGACACAGAAAGGAAGCACTATAAATGCAGACTAATTAAAGTTTTAGAGACAATAGACTGAGAATTTCTATTTACATCTTACCCATAAAAAAGGTAAACAATAACATCGAAACAAGAAAATTTTAATAGGAGAAGTATGTACTTTTCTACACAGTTCAAAATTAGGCCACAAAATTAATTTATTTTTTTTTTTTTCAGTCTTGACGAATCTCTGCCTTTTCCTGGAAATACCCAGAGCTATAATAGATTATAAAAACCCCAAACAAACAAACAAAAACCCAAACGAAAAACCAGATAAGTGACAACAGGAATATAAAAATTGCTGCCTCAGAACACACGCATTTACACCTCTGTTTCTTCAGGGTTAGTTTTGGGGATAGTTTGATACAGACCTCCCTGTTTCATGAGTGGCGTTCATCTTATTTTGGAGCAGTCAAAAAATGGGGGAAAGACTTGACTACTTTACTATGGCAATTCCCTCTTAATTCCATATTTCCTGTATGTGAAAGTATAAAACTGAATCTCCTAACCCTTTTAAAAATTGACAGCTAGCATTCTTATATGAGCAGCCTCTGACTTCAGTCTGCTTATAGGAGTGGCAGCTCAACACTCCCAGGTGCCAAGAGCCACCAGGAGCTGTATTTGACCATAAGTCAATTGAAGGATTAGAATTACTTCTTGTCAAAAAGATCCACTTTTCAATTATAACAGAAATAAATTGTGGTTTAATAAATAAATATCATATGCAAATGTTTAACTATAAAGTTTCACTGCTTTTCTGACAATATCAAGTTTGCCTATCTCCTTAATAAATAAATATCATATGCAAATGTTTAAAGTTTCACTGCTTTTCTGACAATATGAAGTTTGCCTATCTCTTAACAGACCTCAGTTCTGTAAAGGATGACTTTGTGAGATTCTGTCCACATGTATCTTCTAAGAGATGTAACTTGATAGAATCTTTACTCACTGGACAGATATGTCAGTAACATATCTTCATATTGAACAATCTAAACATGTATTAGTGAAGTGCTTCCCAGTGGTGGGTGGCAAATGTAGTTATGCGCATTTTAGAGATGAGAGTAAGTCAGAGCCATGACAGAATTTGCATCTATATCTGAATTCTCTGACCATCTGACCATGATCCTTGGCAAACAAAGGCACAAAATGCACAAAAATGTTGTTCTGCTGGCATTACAACAGATCCGTGCATTGTGGTTTAATTTTTCTCTTACCTGAAAAAAGCTTACACAACATTGATAGGATAGCTGACTTGATGATTATTGAGATTCACAAAGAAATTGCATACCAAAGGTAGAAGCTGCCAAATATAAATGGGAAGTTTATATTATCTATCTTTAGCTGTCTAACTCACAAAGATCTGCAAGAACTACATCAGAGCTCAACACCGCTTCCTGTGCCAGTGCTGGGTGCTTATCCGCTTGTACCTCACAGTTTGGTGATGTGAAGTAGACTGTGCACTGCTACAGTCTGGAGGGTTCTCTCTTCCTTTCTACAAATATTCCTTAACATATAATATCATTTTTCAAGACAAGAAAATGCTCCCTGGTATAGATACAAGAATTAAGCTTTGTCTAAAAAGACAATGACATGCCAAAAGAAAAAAGCTGATGGAATAGCATGTTGATTTTTGTAAAGACCTGTGTTTGTGCTTAGTTTCATAGGTTGGTGGTGAAAAAAATTCACTATCTGGATTGATAATAGCATACTTTCCTCACATGCCCCCTAGTTTTGGGGCCTTCTGCAATACTTAAGATGTGATTTTAAGTGTCTGGTTAAATATTCTTTCTGGGCAATGAAATTCCACACTTATATTAGTGAAAAGCAGAAAAAATAAAAAATTGCAGAATACACAATGACCTCAACTCTCACTAGAAGTAAGAACCTAGATTTGTTTTTCACATTGGGCGAAAAAAAACATAAACAAAATCCTAATTTGCACAGTATTAACAGACAGTCCCAGGCATCTCATACATCTATTTTAATCATCCTATAGGTAACAGAAATGAGCACAATACCAAAGAATTTGCATGAGAGAAAGTTTATATCAGCTGGCATAAAGAGACTTTCTCAGCAGTGAAATATATGGGAACTAAGCAATATATTTCTGTCACAAAACCAAAGTGCAGCCATCTATTCTAACTCTGTCTCTAATCCCAGTGGGTTTAACCAATTATCATTATCTAAAAAAATTGCAAATTAGACTGCAATTACTGTTGACTGTGGCAGCACTGTTCTTAGTGAACAAATAGATGAAAAAATATTAATTGAATTCATGACCAAGAAACTGCAAGTATTACAACCTTATACCAATTATTCACTGCAGGCTTTAAAGCCGTGTTTAAATCAATGATTTTATCATTGCCTTTGCTGTAAAGCAGGTCCCAGACACATGAGGATAAAGATGTAACCAAGGATTCTTGACATTTCACATGCTTTTGATCATGCCTCTGACTGTAAGAAACCCATGATCACTCATAAGCCAGCTACACTGTGTGATAGGAGCTGAAAAAGCAATAGAAATGTCTGCTCTGCATCATGCTAATCTCAGTGTATGATTTATCCATGATAAAAAAATCCATTGAGAGGGAATTCTAGGGAATTGTACACAAACATCTACTTCCAAATGCTTGCTTCCTGTAAAAAAATTCTTTGTGCGGTTCCTCTGGCAAAAGTTTACTGTGCCAGCTGACCTCATTTACTTAAACATAAACATACTTATTATGATAGCACCTCCTATATAGTATACTTGCCTCCCAATGTATTATAACAAGACGGCTTTTTTCCCCAATGTCATTTACAAGTTACTGATGCTAACAGGTTATTATCTTTTGATGCTCAGCTGTGCATTGTGCAAGAACTGCACAGATAAAGATGAATAATTTTTGAATAGGGGAAAGGTTTTTCATAAAACATTCCAACATGAAAATGACTGCTTAGAGAACACAGCAGCTCCATGCATGCTTTCAATTTCCAATTTGGCCCAAAATCAGATTTTACTTCCAAAGAGTATTCTCCTCCTACATACAAAATGGATTAAATGCTTCTGTTAGGAAAGATAAATCAGAGCATTGCTCGGCATGCACACAGGGTGCTTGTTCTGGGGAAAGAAGTTCTGTGAGCACAGGAATTTCTATTTTTTTAACTTCTGCACAAGTGTGCACACGTGAGTATTAATAACAAGGACTCTTATCTACAAAGTAATGCCAATATGGGACTGTTGAAGTACTTGAAAGACAGAGCTACTATTCTGTATTGTCTGAAGCAAGCAGAGAATGGGAGGGAGGCTCTTCAACACATTTTTAATGCAGCCTAGCTGCCTCTTCAAAACTCAGTGTCAAGTTCTATGCTTTTCCCTGGTGAAAACTTGGCTGGAAAAAGCAGGAAGCTGACAGGTAGGGCCACCAAGGTAAAAAATTGCTGCATATGGAAAACTTAATATGGTTTATTATTTTTCCTATAATATTATATACATTAGAAACTCAACTAAAATCTAAAATAATAAAAACTGGGTACTACTTCTCCAAAGCATATTTTCTTCCATACTGCATAATAATGGATCTGCTTCAGGAAGCACCACAAATGGGTAGATCTGTGGATCCACACCTTGAAAGTTTTAACAATCAATAAACATATCCAGAATATTGTCAATTCTACATTTAAATTGAGTGACTGAGAAACATATTGCTCATCTAAAGATGGGGTTTAAATTTCCACAGTAAATTACTGCGACACTTTCTGACCAAATCATACATAAAAGGGATAGAATTTCCCAGTGTAACGTTTCCTTCACTCTCAGAGATGAGAACAGCATTACTCTCTTGAGTTAAAAACTCAAGCCCAGTTATCAGCTAGTATCAAGAGGTAATTACACTATCTATAGAAATTACAGTCATCTGTCCCAGAACTCAAAATTGCTCCTTCTTCATACTCACCATTTCTGTCAATGGCAAAAGGAACATCAGTTGTGACAATTTCATAATTGCAGATCTGGCTATACTGTGGGGAACAGTCCTCGTCTATGGCTTCTACCTGCAGTATGCTGTCATAGATCTTTCCCTCTGTCACAGTGGCCTTATACACACTCTCCTTGAAAGCTGGTGAAAACTCATTGACATCCTTTACCTGGATATGGACCACCGCCCTAAAATAGGTAAATAAAAACATCAAAGAGAAAAATGAATTTATCATGACACGACACTAACAGTTTGTTTGCAAAACACTTGAAAAGACTAACAAAACATATTTAGAAAACTACGTAAACATCTGCTAAAATATTATTAAATTTCTATGTTTATTTTGCCCCATTTAATATCTTAATGCAGCACTAGGTAAAAACCTATTGCCACAGCTTAACAGTGCTCCCTATTAAAATCAGTCTGCCTCTTAAAATGAACCCCAGTAGAAAGTCAGTATCATTCCAGTGTAAAATGGGTTAATAAGCAAAAAAATGAGGGAGAGTTATAGTAGTTTCACATATTCACTACCAAAAATGGTCAGTTTATGAACATTCTTTGATATTAAATAAGCCTCTCACCTTCTGCTGATTATAATTATCTAATGCTTTAATTAGTTACAACACTGTACATGTAAACCTTTGAGGGTCAAAAATAATAGGCCTTTCATATTTAATGAGTAAACTCTAAAGGCCTTCCTTTTTCCTATAAGAAAGTGTAACTAAGTCTGGTCCTGATTGGCCAGATTTCATTTGGTCAGGATTAGACAAAAATTTTCCACAGGTGGAATGTACTAACTTGTTATTGATATAAGGGAAAAATATAATAAAATTTAATAATATGAAGCGAAGTTTCTGTCACCTGATGGTTCTTTGATATTGCAGGCTTCCATCTAAATGTGTCTTATTTTTAAATATCCTGAAAAAGTTCACCATGCATTACAGAACTAATTAAATTTTTAATTGTCTTGTGTCCTGGATGAGCAAAAGGAAGAATGATAAGTATCAATCATTTATTTAAATGGCTCTCAGAAAAACAAACAATTTGTACAGTAGTTATACCTCTATGTATGAGTTGAATTCATCTTTAATGACAAATGGTCTGGAGCTTAGTTTCATGAATTGAAGGAGGAAAAAGGCACTGTGCCACTTAAGCTTATGCAGGGAATTGGCTCCACTGTAAAAAGTACCATCTACTAACCTTCAATACCCCTCTCTTCCAGGAGATCTGAATTCCTCTGAGACTTGCTGTCTGAAAGCTGAGGTCAGAAACACACTGCAACTGCAACACTGCTGCAGCTTATACACATGCACATACTAAACGAAAAGGTGAATTGTCTTTTCTTATCATTTGAAATGAACAGAAAGAAAACCTATTTAAAATTTGTATCAGTTAAAAGCTAGCTTCCATGTCCTGAATGATCTGTTTAGCCAATGTATTTAACATTAAAGCAAGAATAGTAAAATAAACCAAAACTGAGATGCATTTCACCTCTTTAACAGGGTTCCTAAAATATAGGTTAAAAATAGAGGTTGAAAATAAAAATAAAAATAGAGGTTAAAAATAAAAAATATTTTCTGAAAGGAAAAAGAATGAAGGTGGATGGACTATTGCAACAATGGTTCACCATGGGTTTATTTGCTTTCTATTTGACTACAATATAAAAAGGAACCCTCAAACTGATCTGTACTGTAGAGCAAATGTATGCCAAAGGAAAAAAAAAAAATTCTCCTCATTTTCACTCACTTGTGAGATTTCTTCCAGCTTGTTCCACCTGGTCCTGATCCACAGTCGTAGGCCTGAATGATGAATGTATATTCCTTCTGCAGTTCACAGTCAATAGGGCTTTTTGCTCGAAGACGACCTTCTCCAGATGTCTTGTTTAGCACAACAGCTTCAAAGGGCATTTCTTGTCCATGGATTTTAAAAGCACAGATTTCACCTGTGAGGAATAGTATAAAACAATCATAACAGGAGAGGTCTAAGTCTTATGCACTAGAGTAACACTGGAGAAGTTAGCACTCATTTGTATTTCACATGCTGTTATAGATGGGAGAAGTACAGACTCAGGCATCTGGTCACATACTTCTCTCTTCCTCTGTCATTACTAAATGGTTTCTTAAAGCCCTAGAGACTATTCCCTAGATTTGGTACTAATATCAATATTAAGCTAAATTATTTTTGAGTTAAATTAAGAAGACTGTATTTAGTTAAAGAAAATAACAGAAAGAAAAATTGATACTATTTTAGAGATGGTCTAACTGCTGTCACTCCTTCCCTGAGCCACTTGAGCTACCAGGTGGTAGCAGATGTTCAGATTCTTGCAGTTTAGTTTCCCAATAGTGAAAAAACTAATGATGCAGAACACGGGCACATTCAAAATATATTTTGCTTTATTTATAGACATATATCTTCTTCGGAACAGAAGTAGTTGAAGGAACACAGACAAGTGTCTCTTTTGGACATCTCAGTCACCCACCCACATTCACACTCTCATACATGAATGCCTTCTTGGTCACAGCTCTCTCTGTCTCCAAACAGCCTCCTAATATAACAGATCCATAGCTTCTCTCAGAGTAGCACTATATAACAAAAGAGATGATATAGCAGGGACTAAAAAAATTTATTTGGACACAAAAGACAACATAAAAAATCTTGTTAGAATATGAGTCTGGAAGGAGAAAAACCCTCCAGTTTCTAGTAGTCTTTTTTTTTTTTTTTTTTTTTTAATCCTTTATACTGATGGCAAGGATATGCACACTGAATTCAATTTTTAGCCACTCCAGAATTCAACTTTAAAAATGAAATATTTATACAAAGAGCAATGTGGCTTAAATATTTTTATGACACATTAAACACATGCTCTTTTATGAGCAAGTCAATCTCAGGACATGCATTATAGACTCAAAGCTGTCTCCCATTCACATAATCCTTTTCCATTTATTTCCAATTTACAGTTGCAGCTTTTTGGAAATCTCCTTGCCAATCATATCTGAGTCAACTGCCAAATTCTAAATTAACTCTGAATCTATAACCTCTAATTCACGCCTAGTTCCTCTCTCTCTTTTTCTATTAGAATATATTGTTTCTTTTTAGAGAAGAGAGTAGACAGTGACTTTATAAAAGTGATGGAGTTCATAATTCCTATTACGTGTGAGAGAGAAGAAATGGGAAGAGGGTCTGTGTGGGAAGGGTGAGGATTAGGTACACTTAGAATATTAATACTGGATCTTTAGGATATTCCTTCAATTTCCACCATATAGGATTCCCTTGATTATCATGGGAGCTGAAGCTGAGCTCGGCTATATACACTGACATTTAGGCAGAAGAATCCCATACTTAACAATTGTAATCAATCCTATGAATGTCTTTACAGTATCAACACACAGCTGTTTTAGTAATTATGAGGCACTGCAAAAATACATTAAGTATTTGCTTGGATATTTGCTTCCTCCAACCCCTCACTCAAGTGGCATGCAAGGGCAGTGTGGTTTCCCAAGACAGACCTAAGATGTGCTTTTTTCCAGGCTCTCTTTTGTTCTTCCTCAATGAGACCAAATATTTGGGCTATAAAAGAAGGAATGGGTTTTACCCTGAGAATCAGACTCTGAAAAAGAATAATACTTTTTATATTCATAAAAGCAGGCTCCACAACATTTATAGACTGGTGCAGAGGAAACACATAAGATTAAGAGAAGGCTGAAGTGAAGCAGTTTGTTCAGCTTTGATCATCGACACTGATCACTGACTTTGTATTTCAATGTTGGCACACATACCTTTGAAAAAAAAATGCTAATTTCCCTGCAACTTCAAAATGAAACTTTCATCTAAAATGATTTGTGGATTTAAGTTTTATTTTAATTACATATGAAAATAACTGAGTAAATGTGGGAAGTCTAATGGAAAAATACCATTATTGTGTTCTGTAACAGTGGCCTTCATAGTTTCTTAACAACAAAATTTTCCTCAGATGCAAAATCCATCAACAGAAATAATAACTTCAGTGTTTTGTGTTTATTATTTTATTGATCCACTGTTTGATTGCAAACAATACAGCACTTGCAGACATCCAGGGCTATTGTTCTTAAAAAATAGAAATAGCTCAGGGCAAAAAAAATGTTCTCTCAGCCTTAGTCTAAACTTTTATCATTTTTTTCCTCTCCAAATGCCCAGGCCTGATGCAAAGTAATCATAGAAGCAGCACATCTTCTAGTTACTTCTCAGCAAATATTTTAGAAGTGTTTATATTATGCTCCTACACTAGATACTCCGGCTTATATATAACTTCACTAAGTTTTTACTTTACTAAGAGTTGCTTCATTTAAGAAATGTTTTAATTAAATTCTGGACATTATGTTTTCTTTCCGTTCAGATTAGCATTAACCATTAGTGTCTATTAATTTTGAAGCCTACATTATTTTAAGGTGAGAGCTCTGGTAGAGATCCATAGGTTACTACTGCAGGGGTAATAATAATATAATTTCTTCTGTAAAAATTTTAATAGGCTGAAAAAAAGCTATTGACAGTTTATAATTTCTGAAAAATAACCAATAAATCTTTCCACTGTTTAGAAATTGCTAAAGACAATGTTTCTTATTCAGCAATATTTACATGCAAGATTTAGTGATTATAATCCTTAATCAACAAAATTGTATTACAAATTACTGCTTTTATATGCGAAACAAAACTCACACTTCTTTCAGTAGAAGCAAAAATCCCCAGTGTTACTCATTTAACAACTACACAGAATTATTCACTTGAACTCAATTTCAGAAGTTATTAAAAAACCTGCATGCTTATTTTGCCTTTCACAGCTACCTTTGTTTTTTCTTCAACTTTCATTATACCAAGGGTACAGAAGACTTCAAGTGAAAAGTTGGGATCTCTGACACTTGGTAATTTTCATCAATAGTTAATAAAAGGCAACACTTGTACATTTGGTTGTGTGTTTCATTTGATTGTATGAGACTCAACGAGGATAAATGTTGTTTGGGTCCTGCACTTGGGTCACAACAACCCCACGCAAAACTACAGGCTTGGGGAAGAGTGGCTGGAAAGCTGCCCAGTGGAAAAGGAGCTGGGGGTGTTGGTCGACAGCCGGCTGAACATGAGCCAGCAGTGTGCTCAGGTGGCCAAGAAGGCCAACAGCATCCTGGCCTGTAGCAGAAACAGTGCGGCCAGCAGGAGTAGGGCAGTGACTGTGCCCCTGTACTCGGCACTGGTGAAGCTGTACCTTGAGTACTGTGTTCAGTTTTGGGCCCATCACTACAAGAAGAACATTGAGGCTCTGGAACGTGTCCAAAGAAGGACAACAAAGCTGGTGAAAAGTCTGCAGAACAAATCTTATGAGGAGTGGCTGAGGGAACTGGGGTCGTTTAGTTTGGAGAAAAGGAGGCTGAGGGGAGACCTTATCACTGTCTACAACTACCTGAAAGGAGGTTGTAGTGAGGTGGGTGTTGATCTCTTCTACCAAGTAACAAGCAATTAGACAAAAGGAAATGGCCTCAAGTTGCACCGAGGGAAGTTTAGATTGGATATAAGGAAAAATTTCTTCTCTGAAAGGGCTATCAAGCATTGGAACAGGCTGCCCAGGGAAGTGGTGGAGTCATCATCCCTGGAGGTATTTAAAAGATGGGTAGATGTGGCACTTAGGGATACGGTTTAGTCATGGACTTGGCAGTATTAGGTTAACAGTTGGACTCGATGATCTTAAAAGCCTTTTCCAACCAAAACAGTTTTATGATTCTACGATTAACTCCAACCAGAGTTCCCTGCATCTTCTATCTTCTCCATTGGCCTTTTGATTGCTTATGGAGTAGAGTTTACACAACTGTGTTCAGGACATGTCTATGTGTGTGAGGGTACACATATGTATTTGTTCCTGCCATTAACTCCCAAACCATTTGCTAATTTCAACTACATTTTAAAAAGACTAGTTGCTTCCCACAAGTGCTATGAAATTACACAGCTGCACAATACAGATACTCTACAGAAATTGTGTAGGGCTGAGAAAGAAGTCACATCTCACTAGATACCAAACAGTCCACACAAAGATCTTGTAAAAGCTCAACAACAAGAAAAGCTTCAATTCTATTTTGCACATTTTTTGTACCAGTAAATCAAACATGAAGCTCAAATCTGTAGGAAACCAGGCTTCATTAGTTCACTGCTGATAAAATTACACATTTATATTCATATCCTGTTCTGATTTTATTACTCTCCAGCCTCTTATTATATTTCTATGTGTGTTTTTCACAGATGCACAAATCAACATAGCTGATCATTTATTTAGAATAAAGCTTGCAGTTTTATACTTCTTGAGGTAAGTTCAGTGCTCCTGAAAGATTCCAAAGTGAGTAAGAGTCAAAGCCACATGATCATATGCAAACCCACTCACACCTTAGAAAAGTGACAAATACTCTGGTCAGGAGAGATGCATCTTGAGTTTCAATTCAAAGAACAAAGAGAGGAACACCATGACCAAGGCATCACTGTGTCCTCTGAAGAATTGCATATGAATGACAATAACACTTTTTTCATTAGGTGTGCGTGTCCTTCAAGAACTTGATTCAACTACATGGATCCATCATGTCATGACAGAGGTATTTGACAATCATCAGTAATGAATCTTCTTCATATACTACAGGGCTGTGGCTAGAGGCCAGATGCCCACCAAAGCCC